TATTGAGAGCCTCCTATGGAGGCAGGTTTAAAGGGTGGTTGGGAAAATTAGAGATAATGGTGGCAGGAAGGTTCAAGGTAGTGAGATTTGTGTTGGTACATTGAATAATCTGTAACCACAGTGTTTATAGAAGGTGTAAGGGGGAAATAAAGTTTTTTAAGAATTTAAAAACTAACTAAATAAAATAAGACATATTATTCTCTGCAAAAAAAGAGAATAAAAATAAAAATCCATGGCTTTATTCAGAAAAGAGAAGTTCAGGACCATAGCAGTATAGCAAGGAGGGTGTTTGCCTTGCATGGAGCTGACCTGGGTTCAATCCCAGGCATCCCATATGGTGCTCCAAGCACTGCCAGGAGTAATTCCTGAGTGCAGAGCCAGGAGTAACCCCTGACCATCACTGGATGTGACCCAAAAAGCAAAGAAAAAGAAACAGAAGTTCATAGGAGGAAGGTGGGCTGAATATTGGATATAGCAAAGATGTCAAAGTGGTTATCACAAATATGTTTAAAAAAATTAAAGAAAATTTAAAATAATTTAAAGATAAATGATAAATATCACTTTTACAAGTAGAAAATCTCAATAAACACATTTATTTTTTTTTAAATCTAGCCAGATGGAAATTATACAGTAACTGTTGGAAAATCCATTCAGTGGTCTCAGCATCAGATTTGGCAGAAGAGATAATGAAGTAACTCAAATGCAGGTCCCCAGAAATGACCCAATCCAAAGTAGAAAGAGGAGAAATGAACAACAGTAGATACCAACACACATGTAGCATGAGCTCCAGAAGGAAAGGGGACAAATGAGGTAGAGCGTTGAAAGACATAATGACCTCAGGGCCAGAGCAATAACAGCAGGGAGGGCATTTGCTGTTCATGCAGCCAAACCGGGTTCATTCCCTGGCATACCATATGGTCCCCTGAGCACCACCAGGAGTCATTCCTGAGTGCAGATCCAAGAGTATCCCCTGAGCATCACTGGGTGTAACCAAAAAAAAAAAAAGACATAATGACCTCAAACGTGCCAAGTTTGATTAGGAAGTTCTCCATACCCAAAAGTGCCAGTACCCCTAAATTAGTGCCCTACAAGAACCACAACCGGCTTCACAATAAAATTGCTGATTGGTAAAGAGAAAAAAATCTTAAAACTAGCAGCAGAAAAGCTACTTAGTACAGGACAACAGCAGGATGATCAGTGACCGATTTTTCATCAAATAAAGTGAGGATCCAATAACATTCAAAATATTGAAATATACTTCAACTGGAGAAATAGCACAGTGGTAGGGCATTTGGCTTGCACGTGGCCGACATGGCCAATCCGAGTTTGATTCTTCCACCCCTCTTGGAAAGCCCAGAAAGCTACTGAGAGTATCTCGCCCGCACGGCAAAGCCTGGCAAGCTACCCATAATGTATTCAATATGCCAAACACAGTAATAACAAGTCTCACAATGGAGACGTTACTGGGCCAGCTGGAGCAAATCAGTGATCAACAGGAGGACAGTGCTACATTACTTTAACAAAGTATTGCATACACAGCAAAAATCTCCTTTAAAACTGAATTTGAGATAGATATTTTCTGAGAAAAGATAGGCTTGTAGTAGTCTTGCTAGAAAGAACACAATGGAAGTCCTTAGAAAGAAAATGCCAATAGAGGGGTATGATGTTACCAGCATGTAAATCTGTACCTGCGGGTTGAGTGCATCAGCAGCCTGATGGTGCCTTTAGACTTCAAGATACCCCCAAATTGCTGCTCTGCCTTTGGCCAGACCCCCCAACAACTGGGGGCCAAGTTTACCAAAAAATTAAACGGCCAAAAGTTAGGCATGTGGGAGACACACCCACAAACCACCTCAGGCTCAGCTATATAAGCTCATTTATTGGCTTATTTCAGAGACCCATAAATCTCAAAAGAGATCAAAAGATGCAGTTAGGGCCTGTCGCGCAGAAGTGGGCAGGAACCCATGACTGAGACCTTCAGGCTCACTTGGATCAGGACTGGGCCTCCTCCCCCCAGATCCCCAGTTTTCCAGTAGCTTGCAGCCACACCCACAAACTGCCCCCGGTTCCATGTAATCTCATCAACGGCCAAGACCCAGAGACTATAAACTAAAGCTCAGGGAAGAGAGCGCCGCAGAATGCCCTGACCCCGCACCAGGCTCTTCACCAGGGCACCTTGGGGGGTGGGGCAGGTTGAGTCTCCCTTCCCACTCCAAACAGAACCCCAGCAGCCAAAAACCTCCAGAACCCAACCACTGCCATGCGCAAAGCCACTCTCCACATGTCGGACAAGCCTCAGCCAAAGGGGACGAGTCCCACTGAAGACGGGATGAACCTCACCAGAGAGTGGATGGGCAGGAAAACCCAGATATGTGGGAACCCGTGACTGAGATCTCCAAGCCTGCTTGGATCGAGACTGGGCCTCCTCCCCACCGGTCCCCAGTTTTCCAGTAGTTTGGCAGTCACACCCACAAACTGGCCCTGGCACCATGTAATCTTATCAATGGTCAAGATCCAGAAACTATATACTAAAGCTCCCAGAAGAAAGCACTGAAGAATGTCTTGACCCTGTGCCAGGCTGTCTTCACTGGGGCACTTCGAGAGGGGTGGGTTGAGTTTCCCTCCCTACCCCAAGAAGAACCCTGGCAGCCAGAAAGCTCCAGAACCCAACTGCCACCATGCACAAGGCCACTCTCCACACACTGAGACGAGCCTCACCCAGGATGGGATGAACCTCACTAGAGAATGAACTGGCAGGAAAACCACATATGTGGAAACCCGTGACTGAGATCTCCAAGCCCACTTGGATCGGGACTAGCCTTCTCCCCCCAGATCCCCAGTTTTCCAGAAGCTTGGCAGTCACACCCACAAACTGCCCCCAGCACCATGTAATCTCATCAACGGCCAAGACCCAGAGACTATAAACTAAAGCTCCTGGAAGAGAATGACACAGAATTTTCTCGACATTATATTCTATTCATAACAAGCAATACAAAACAAATTGTCTAGCATTGCCTTTTAGGCAGGTTTGAGTGGTGGTGAGACTGGTGTTGAAATATCTAATGTAACCAAAGTAGAGAGAGATTATGGAGGAAATTGTCTGCCACACAGACGGGGAAGGATTGGAAAGGGGGTCGGGGAGGAATACTGGGGATTTTGATGGTGGAAAATGTGCACTGGTGAGGCGATGGGTGTTTGATGATTGCATGACCAAAGCTTAAACATGAAATCTCTGTAATTGTATCTCATGGTGAATAAAAAAAGGGGGGTAATAATAATAAAATTAAATTAACATTCAGAATGGAATAATATAAAAAAATAATGTGGCATTCATGCCAAATTCAATCAGCTTAATCAATGGCTGAGGGGCTGGAGAGATAGCACAGCGGGAGGGGCATTTACCTTGCACGCGGCCAACTTGGGTTCGATTCCCAGCATCCCATATGGTCTCCTGAGCACTGCCAGGAGTAACTCCTGAGTGCAGAGCCAGGAGTAACCCCTGTGCATCGCCAGGTGTGACCCAGAAAAGCAAAAAAAAAAAAAAAAAATCAATGGCTGAATAAATAGCAGTACTCCTACATTATTAAAAAATGCTAAAAGACAGTATCACAAATCCACAGAAATGAACTAAAAGAGAATTGGACTTTAGACTATAATATACAAAACAAACAAACACACACTGTCCTCCCGTTGTTCATCGATTTGCTTGAGTGGGCCCAGTAACGTCTCCATTTTGAGACTTGTTGGTTCTGTGTTTGGCATATCAAATACGTCACGGGTAGCTTGTCAGGCTTTGCCATGCGGGCGAGATACTCTCGGTAGCTTGCCAGGCTGTCCGAGAGGGGCGGAGAAATCAAACCCGGCTTGGCCAGGCAGGCTGCGCACAAGGCAAATGCCCTACCGCTGTGCTATCGCTCCAGCCCATAATATACACATATGCAAATATAATCATCATCCTGTGAATAGGTGAAGATTCTATCCATCAACAGAAGTTTCAGCAGTAAAAAGGGAGTGAAGAACTAATTCAGGCAGCCCTATGAACAGACCTCAAAAACAGTAGGCTGAACTGAAGCAGTCGTACAACCAGGAGGGGAATCTACTGTACAAAAATGGTCGGCCTCGGGTTCAATCCCTGGCACCGCATATGGTCCCCAGAGCACCACCAAAAGTGAGGCTTGAGAGCAGAGCCAAAAGTTAGCTCCAAGCACCACTGGGTGTGGCCCCAAACAGCAATAAAAACTCTACTGTGTGAAAGAATCATTACAATAGTCTATGCTTTTATGAATTGATTTAGATGAGCCTTCTAGAAAAAGAAATTATATAAAGAGAAAACAGATCAATGGTTGCTTGACTGGGACTAGAACTGAAAGCAACCAGCCATAAAGAAGCATTTTGGGGGTAACAAGTTTTAAAAATGGACTTTGTCATGATTATTTAGCCACAGAATTTACTCTGTACAATTTCTGTAAGTTAACGCTCAGTGTACCAATTTCATCTTAACGCATTAGTAAGAAAAAAAAACCCTGTTTCTTAGTGGTGTATGTGGACATAATTTTATTTTACTTCTCTGCTTGCATTCTAGGTTGAGTACATAAATATATGTTTGAAATAAAAACCAACACACCATATATTCACACACGTATGCACATACACAGTTGTACATGTGTGAAACAGGAACTCTAGTAAACGCTAATCTCTATCATGGTTCCTGCTAAAAATAGTGTTTCATCATATATTGGGGTTCACTAAGTGACTTGAGACTGCTCAGATGTAAACTTCATTTTCTTATGTAAGTTCATGTTTTCCACCAAGAGAATGAAGTCAGAATATCACATAATACTGCTAAATCATATTTCATATTTTTGCATGATCTTTGTAGACCAGGAAATAGAATAGGCATGAAATTTAAACTTGAAAATGACTAATCAGTTGAGTCAAAGATGACATTAAACTCTTGTAAAGGCTAACGACTTGCCTTGAATAATTTTTTATTTTTGCAGATGTTGTTGAAGTATTTTTTATGAAAAGTATCACTGCACATCAAGCAACATTAGGCCCAGAGGAATATGAAACACTGACAATCACTGAAGACTTTTGAAAATAGCCTATACAAAATGGGGAAAGGGCTGGAGCGATAGCACAGCAGGTATTCTCACAATGGAGACGTTACTGGTGCCCACTTGAGCAAATCGATGAACAATGGGAAAACAGTGCGACAGTGCTACATCAATGCATAAAGATAGTTGCTAGTTTATTCCAGCTCAAACACCCTTTCCCTCTTTGTTTTTAGTTTTACAGTTAGATGAACCCAAGCAGGGCCTCAAGCACGCAAGTGAGTATGTTAGTGCTCTATTATTAAGTCACATTTGTGGAAGGATGTGCTTATCATCTCTTAGTTCAGAAAGTGGAGACGTTTATGTAAAGTGGGAAGTAAAATTGGACTGGTTGGGGTTAGAGAGATAGTTCAAGAATTCAAGCACTTAATATGAGATTAATACCCAAGAATAGCTGAGATCAACACCAGGAGGATTACTCCATAGCTTAGAGGCCAGCCGGGCATTCTAGGGGAAAGGGCAGCTCAGATAGAGAAGGGAGCACCAAATAAAGGGTGTTTGGAGGATCCTCCCAGGAGGGGAGATGCATGTTGAAAGTAGACTATGGACTGAACATGTTTGCCACTCAATGCCTCTTTTGCAGACCACAACACCCAAAAGGAGAGAGAGAACAAAAGGGAATGCCCTGCCACAGAGGCAGGATGGGATGGGGGGGTGGTGGGAGGGATATTGGGATCCATGTTGGTGGAAAATGGGCACTGGTGGAGGGATGGGTATTTGATCATTGTATAATAGAAACCCAAGCACAAAAAAAATTGTAAATCTACAACTGTACCTCATGGTGTTTCACTAAAAATAATTAAAAAAGAAAAAGAATTCAAGCACTTGCCTTGCATGCAGCCAACCCCAGTGTAATCCTGTAATCCTTAGCACTACATATGGTCTTTTAAGCGCCATCAGGAGTAGCCCAGAGCCTCTTAGCATTGCTGGGGTTGTGGGAGGGGTACAGGGAGGGGCCAATGCTTCTTCCACCAAAAATTTGGGATGATGCCACCTTTGTAATATTAGTTCGAAATATACTGTTTCTTTAACAAAAGATAGCACAGCAGGTAAAGTACTTGCCTTGCATAAAGCTAACCTAGTTTAGATCCCCAGCAGCCCTTATGGTCCCCAGGAGTGATCCCTGAGCACAGAACTAGGAGTCAGTCTGAAGGACTACTTGGTGTGACCCTGAAAACAAATTTTTTCCTTATGTCTGTATATGAGGTTCTTCAGAAGCAACTTACAATATAACTTCTGTTCCTGTAAATTTAATATTTTATTCAAAATTGGCTTCCTCCTTCTCTCTACCTGCCAGAGTTTTGGTTTTATTTTTAACTGTATTTGTTTCCATCTCAGTTTTTGGTCTTCAGCTTAGTATTAGCCCCAAATTTGCCTTCACATCAAAGGGAATTTACAGAAAATGCATTCAATGGCTGACCTCTTTACTTGAATTTCAGGAGTGGAAGCTCTTAATCAAAAACCCTGGCGCCAAATGTTACAAATTCCACACAGCGTTCATTTAACAGAAATCTTATTCCTTGGGAGACCCTGCAGGACTTGAATGCCAGAATTGAAGCCAACCCTGTACTTCTCAGACACACAAGAATTTGATATTGTGTCACTGGCCATGTGACAACAGGTTCAAGAGTAGGGTTATGGGCATAGAGTGATGATGATTTTGTTGGTGAGGCTCCCCAAGCGGTGCTCAGGGGACCCTCAAGAGCCACTACCAGAGATATTTGGCCTGCTGGGTCAGGTTGTTCGAGGTAAAACCTGAGAATGAGAAGCTTCTCAGTCCCTGAAGTGCTGGGGACAATCAGGGCCACCCCAGTGTTCTGGGCGCCTCCAAGTCCACACCCAGTGAGGCCTGGGGACCTCCAGGACCATACCAAGTGGTGCTGAGATTTGAACTCTTGTCCCAGTGAATGCAAAGTCTCTGTGTCCCTGCATAATCTCCCTACCCTAATAGATAGATAGGCCTTCCCCCCAGAAATAAAATCTTTCTTTTATTCCCTATTTGAACTTAGGGCTGGAGCGATAGCACAGCGGGTAGGGCGTCTGCCTTGCACGCAGCCAACATGGCCGACCTGAGTTCGATTCCTCCGCCCCTCTCGGAGAGCCCGGCAAGCTACCGAGAGTATTCGATATGCCAGACACAGTAACAACAAAGTCTCCAATGGAGACGTTACTGGGCCCGCTCGAGCAAATCGACGATCAATGGGAGGGCCTTTGAACTTAAGTTATACATGTCGATACTTTCTTTAGTTCTACTTTACTGTAGCACTGCAGCAAGGTCCCCCAGTTGTTCATCGATTTGTTCTAGTGTGCACCAGTAGAGTCTCCATTGTGAGACTTGCTGTTACTGTTTTTGGCATATCAAATACGCCACAGGGAGCTTGCTGGGCTCTGCCTTGTGGGCGGGATACTCTCCATAGCTTGCTGGGCTCTACAGGAGGGGCAGAGGAATCGAACCCGGGTCGGCCACTTACAAGGCAAATTCCCTACCCACTGTGCTATCGCCCCAGCCCAAGTTCTCTACCTTACTTAGCATTGTAAAGTCAAATGACTTTTTGCAGCACCTTGGTCTGTGATTTTGCAATTTTATGTTGGCTGGAGTGACAGCACAGTGGTAGGGCATTTGGCTTGCATGTGGCCGACCCCACCAACTCAGGTTCAATTCCTCCACCCCTCTCGGAGAGCCCAGCAAGCTACTGAGAGTATCTTGCCCACACAGCAAAGCCTGGCAAGCTACCCGGGACGTATTTGATATACCAAACAAAGTAACAAGTCTCACAATGCAGATGTTACTGGGCCCACTCGAACAAATTGATGAACAACGGGAGGACAGTGGACAGTGGAATGTTGGTTGTGAGAAAATTTACATGAGATCTTGATGCCACATACTGAGCTGGTATTTTAATTTTCTTTTTCAAAGATTTTAAAAGTACTTCACGAGAATAGGATTGCTTGTTCTTTTTGCATTCTGGCACAATGAATGCCATGACTCAGTGACAAAATAGCAGCACTGCTTGGTGACTCCTTGGTTCTAACTAAACTTCTGGGCAAAGACATGGAAGGTGGTAAGTATCAGATGGCGCTTAGTTGAAATGATAAGAAGGACTATGGATGGGTCGCTTATGATACTGGAAAATAGACTCATGAGGTAAATGTGTTTAGTTTGTCTTGTACACCAGGATATCCTTAGTGCCTGAAACAGTTATTGGCATGTGGTAGCTACTCAGTGATAAATTATAACTAATTTGCTAAAGTTAGTAACCCAGTTCCTAAATTCATTTTTAAAAGGCTCTCTTTCTCTCACCCTTGTACCTGATCTCAAGTTCTGGGACTGTTCTAAAGGACAATAACAGAAACTAACAGAGACTTGGAAATTATGTTCCTGTAGAATGAAATTATTTTGGTAAGTAGAGGTTTTAGTCTGATATTTATAAAAATAAAAATTAAAAAGAAAAACAACAAAAAAAGAGGCATGGGTAGATAGGAAAACCAGACTGAAGGTCTGCTTTGCATGCTGGAGCTCCATGATTAATATCCAGCACCACATGGTCCCCTGAGCACTGTTGGGAGTAACCCCTGACCACACCAAACTAATGTTTGTTTGTGGCCCTCAAACAAACATTAAATTTTTTTTAAGGATTTAAAATTTTATTTTTAAATTTTAAAAAATTTAACAAGATCCATAAGAGAGTGGGGCATGATGACCAAACTGAGAGGATTTGTGTCCACCTTCTCCCATGATGACAACAAATCTATACCAAGTGTTGGATTAATAAGCACAAAAACCAAACCCATGATGAACAAAGCTTCCACAGTGAGGGGCAAAAGGACAGCATCCAGGTGGATTAGAGACAGGGTGATGTCCCTGTAGCCAAGAAACCTCACCATACTATCACAAGCCACAATCAGTCTGGCCTGGGTTTTGGCACAGCCATGTGTAGGCTGTGTGATCTTGGAATGATCCTTTTTGTTACTGTTCCTTATACCTGTAAAAGAGGTCTGATTGTTTTCTAATTGGATATCTATGAATAGAAAATAATAAATATGCATAAATTGACTATTAACAGTAAGCTTAGAGTATTAACTCTTCACGGAAGCAAGTTACTTAGACAACACAACCCAATTTCACTGCTCCTGGTGGGCTGCGTCAGTGTTGGGTAATAAAATGCCTCCTCCCTAGAGCTGTGGAATCCAACCAGAATGATCCTTCAGACGTGACAGGTTGATTTTAAAAACTGCTTTTGTTTTTAATCCCGTAGGAGGTTTACAGACTGCTGAAGTCTTCTCTGAAGTCTCAGTGAAGTGTAATGGGGACTTTACTGAAAAAGTGGCTGAAACTTTTATAACATGACCACTTGAGTACGATTTGCTTTTCCAAAGTAGCGCTCAGAAAGGCAATTCATTTGTTAAGGAAGGTGAATGCTGGTTTCACTATATTTTCTCCTAGATTCATAGCACAGTCCAAGGAAAAAGGTAGTGCTGTGTGTGTGTGCGTGTGCGTGTGTGTGTGTGTGTGTGTGTGTGTGTGTGTAGTATGGATGTGGATGTATATGTGTTTTTGTCTGTCCTCCTGTTGTTCATTGATTTGCTCGAGCGGGCCCAGTAATGTCTCCATTTTTTGAGACTTGTTGTTACTGTGTTTGGCATATCGAATACATCACGGGGAGCTTGCCAGGCTTTGCCGTGTGGGCGAGATATTCTCCGTAGCTTGCCGGGATCTCCGAGAGGGGCGAAGGAATTAAACCCGGCTTGGCCGGGCTGGCTGTGTGCAAGGCAAACGCCGTACAGCTGTGCTATTGCTCCAGCCCATGTGTTTTTGTATGTATGTAATTTCTCTTTCATTTCCTGCCCTTTCCTGTGTTCTTTTTTTGGTAATGAGGGTTCCTCCTCGTGGTGTTCAGTGGACAATATGGAACCAGGGTTTGAATCTGGACCTTCCATATGCATGCGCTCTAGCCTGTTGAGCTACCACTCTGCTTGCATTGTCTTTCTCCTTCTTTCTTATTCTTGCTCAGTTTACCTTTATTTTCAAAGTGTTCCCTTTGAACAGATAAAGGCCATGAGTAAGATATGGCTTTGAACATGTTACAGAAACATGTGTTCATGTTTAGCCTGGAGTCTTAAAAGAATCTTAAGAGAGATCTTGGGGGCTGGAGTGATAGCACAGTGGGTAGGATGTTTGCCTTGCACGCTGCTGACCCGGGTTCGATTCCCAGCATCCCATATGGTCCCCTGAGCACCACCAGGAGTAATTCCTGAGTGCAGAGCCAGGAGTAACCGCTGTGCATCACCAGGTATCAGCCAAAAGGTAAAACAAACAAACAAACAAACAAAAACAGAGAGATCTTGGAATCTGGGTATGACAGGGTCAGGATCTCCATCTCAAAGTTGGATGGAACCAGTGACATCCTATATACTTGTTCTTCCTCTAGCACTGAACTCCCTTCCTGGGAACACAGACATATCTGGAAATATATTCCCTAGAGATTGACTGTGGCTAGTGTTGTGACCAGCTGTTTAGCCATCATTGTTCCAACAGATTAAAATAAAAGACTTGCTAAAACTGGTAGGGATGTGCTTGGGGCTACTCCCAATTTATTGCTCAGGGGACCATGCAGTACTAGAGATTTAACCTACTCTCTTGCAGGTAAAGCATGTGCTCTACCCTTAGACTTCTCTTAGGACTTATGTCACTAAATTTCTCACAAATTTTTTTTTCAACATCAAACCTGCTATTCATTCCATCCAGTGTATTTTTCCTATTAGACATTATAATTTCCATCTCCAAAAGAGTTTGATTTGGGTCTTTTAAAAAAATACGTATGTAAATATATTTCCCATGTGTCCTCTTAAAATAATGGGGAAAGTTACAATAACAGTTTTAATTTATGGCTGATAATTCTACCATCTGTGGGATTGAGTCCGCTTTGATTGATTTGTCTCATTATAGATCACATTTTTTCCTGCTTCTTTGCGTGCTTTGTCATCTTTGTTTCATTGCCAGACATGAGGTAGTGTGCCTTGTTGAAAACTGGATTCTTTTGTATTCTTACACAAATTCCTGAACTTTGTCCTGGAGCTCAGTCAAATTAGTTTAGTCCTTTCAGGTCTGGCTTAAGATTCATTAGCTGGGACTAGGGCAGGAGGGTTAATTAATCCTCCATGACCGAACCGGAGCTCGGGTCCCTTGCCCAAAGTTCTGTGAACAACGGCTGATGGGCACAGGCAGGGTGCCCGATCCCCAGTGGACACTGGGAACTGTCCCTCCAATCCTTAACCTTTTGGAGGAGACTTCCCCAGCTGGGCAAGTTTCTCTCAGAGGCACATGCCAATCTTCCCAATGCTTGGGACAGGCCTATTGCAGGGATTTCTAGTTCTTTCTTGGGCAGCTCTCTCCCTTCCTGTGACTCCAACTGGAAAATCTCAGGCGACTCTCAGCTCCGAAGACTGCAGTTCATTCCCTATCCAGCACTGTGGTCTGGAAACAGACTCACAGCAGCCCTGCAGGAGGCAGTTGAAAGATTTTCTCACTCGTTTTCTCTCAGGGATCTGCCCTTAGCTGCGGAGTATACAAAAACAAAGGTTTTTCTTTTGGGGGTCATTTCAGGTGGGAGGGTAAATCCCATCCCCAATCTTTCCATCTCAGCTGGAAACGAAGGTGGAATTTTTTTTTTAAGGAAAATTGCTTAAGGATGAAGTGATGTGCCATGAGAATGTGATGTAAATTTGGGACATTTAGTAGCTATCACTTATATCCATCCCACAGGTCACAGCTGTTGGGCAGCCCTGATAGAAAGCTTGGCCTTAGCCTTGTTTGCAGCGGGGATGTGGGGATGTTGACCCCACTGTTTCTGTTGTCTCCAGCTCGATAAAGCAGCGATGGGTGCTGTGAAGTAGCCTGAGACTCACTCAGCATGAGGGGACTTCAATTGAACTTCCTTGTCCTCGCAGTGGACACCAGAGGACGTGACACACAGACATTTCCCAAGTAAACTCAGCTCTGTGGGGTGCTCCTGAACCGAGTTCATAATTCAGTTGCTTCACCAGATTCTCATTAACCTTTTGCGTTTCTCAACTTGCCTGCAGTGCCTGATGACTCAAATCATTTTGTTTGGAAGTGAGCACAGTAGAAGCAGTGAGACCAGAAACCTCCTTAGCCTCCTGCTGAGGTTAAGCTCTGCCACAGCCATCAACTAGGGACCCTGCATGGGGGGGTGGAGGCAGTTCGGCCTCTCCTAGATGCAGTCAAAGAATCAACCTCTTCTTTCGCTTATAAAACACAATGCCTGCCTGTGCTGTGGATGTAGACAAAACCCTCACCAGGCTGAAGGTAACTTGCTGGTTCTTCATAGTCTCTCAGAACTCAGGCTCAGGGGTTTGCTGCCATGATATTTAGTATCCATTGTGGAGCATGGCAACAGGTACCAGAGCTGATAAGATCTGTCCCTGCATAGCAGATAAGACCTGTCCCTGCATAGTGAACCAGTAGGGAATGTCTGGGTGCATTTTACAGGCACCAGGAATCTGGTGTTGAGTCTCATCCCCCAAGAATTGTCAACTAACTGCATTTATAACTGCAGCACTTAGCCTAATCTGGGGTTGGGCCAGAGCAGAGCAGAGTTGGAAAGGTGATAGGTCAGTAATGCTAAATTTCATGTGACTGGACCATCCTCTTAAGCCAAGACCCTCTATAACATGTATGTGTTGTTGGCAAAGTGAGCAGCCATCAGCTGTCTCCCAGAGTGGTTTCTCTGTGCACCTGTCATCCTTCGCCCTGTGTCTGCCCAGACCCAGTGCGCATCGTGTCCGGGCATGTTGGAGAAAAATTGTTCCCCAACAATCCATAATATCCCTTTCAATGCTAAGCATTATAACTAAATGCTGCAAGATGGTGTCTTGGAGACAAGTTTGACTTCAAAGGTCATATGCTGTCTCTTGAGAGTTCTCTGTCGAGGAAGGGCATGGTTGTGGGAAAGTTAGGAGCCAGGTGTAGGTCAGCAGGATCTTTCTCTCAGTCAGGCCAGGCACATGATGGCCACAGAACACCGTCAGGCTCTCCTTCCTTTACCCCCTGCAGCCAGGACCACACTTCTGCTAAGCCCCACAGGAGACTGTCTCTGGAAGTAGCCCACGCCCCGCTCTCAATTCCTAGCCCCAGGAGGGTATAGGTAGGACTCCGGCTGCTGCCACTTTGGCTATTCTGTGCCCCTGATTTGAAAAGAATAACCAGAGAAACTGCTCGCACCAAATTCTGGGCCGAGGCATTCGTTATTTTCTTCGGGGGCTCAGAGACTAAAAATTCTTCTCCCTGGAAAGGACGTGAGGCCATGGGCCACAGGGAAGTTTCAAAGCCAGGGGAAAGGTAGTCTTCTGAGGGACTCAGCTGAAAGAGAAGCTGAGTCAATAAATGTTGCTTTCTCCCTGAAATCAGCCCACAGCTCATTCCTCAAGAACTGCTGAGCAAAGTCCTCGGAGAGGCTGCCAAAGCCCAGATGCAAAAAAAAAAAAAAAAAAAATCAAAATAAAACAAAACAAAGCAAGCCCTGTGCGAGGATTGTTCTCTGTGCTCCACAGCTCCCAGCCATGATCAGCCCCAGATGTCCTGGAACTCACTCGCTTTCCAGTGTTCTCTGGTGCTGTTCACTCTGCCCTGGGACTGCTTTGCCACAAACTCCCATTTCTGACTTCCCAAACCTCGAAGAAATAAGAATGCAGAACTGGGCCCTGAAGCCAGAGTTGACCCCAAGGTTGAGTGGTCATGTTGCAGGGTCTCCAATAAGATTTCAGAGTATAGAGAGCACAGGAAGTCTTGGCTTTGGAAGTGCCTTTTGAGGTTGTTTTAATCTCTTACCCTAAGTCACAACTGTGCTTCAGTTTTAATCATTTAAAGATAAAGCTCCCTCTAAGCGTCAAAAGTACTAGTGCGTTTGCAGTAAGATCTTTCAGGAAAACAGGCACCCACTCCCAGAATTGCACTAGAGTCAGTAGTCAAGTTTTCTTTCTTTCTTTTTGGGGTTTATGGGCCACATCTGGCAATCATCAAAGGCTGCTCCTGGCTCAGTGCTAAGGAGTCTGTCCCAGAGGTGCGCAGGGGACCCCTGTGGAACTGAGGATAGAGCCCAGGCCTCCTGCAAGCAAAATATGTGCTTAGTCCTTTGTGCTGTCCCCTGGTCCCCTTAGCAAAGCCGAAATAGAAACGAAAAAAAGAGACAAGCAAGGCATTGTGAGGCTGGAAATGTGGCTGGAAAGCTGTCCACTGAGGCAGGCTGTTGGATCGTCACAGAAAAGGAAAACATCAGCAGGTGAGGAAAAGTAAGCCAGAGGACAGCATTTTAGTTTCTCGAACAAAGGCATGGCGCAGAGATAACTGATCATTTGTGAGGAAAAGCAAGTGGTTTTAAGTGACTGTCACTTAAGGCAGGCTGCTTCAATTTTTTCCACTCACAACCCCTTTTCACTCAAGGAAATTTTACATGAGGCTGGAGAAATAGGACAGGAGTTAAGGGACATGCTCTGCCTGCCATCTACTGAGTCCTGAGCAGCACCTCATCCTCAAGGACAAGGCTCCAGCAGCCCCCAGCACTGGTAAAGGTAAAAGGTAAAGGCCCTCCCGTTGATCGTCGATTTGCTCGAGCGGGCCCAGTAACGTCTCCATTGGAGACTTTGTTGTTACTGTGTCTGGCATATCGAATACTCTCGGTAGTTTGCCGGGCTCTCCGAGAGGGGTGGAGGAATCGAACTCGGGCCGGCCATGTTGGCCACTTGTAAGGCAAACGCCCTACCTGCTGTGCTATCACTCCAGCCCCCCAGCACTGAAAAAAAAAAAAAGGAAATGTTACATGACCCTAGCTATTTAGGTCTATGAAATAAGTATACAAAGCAAACATTTACTCATAATCCTAAATAAATTTGTTTTAGGGACTGGAGAGATAGTATAGGTGTCCGGTGTTTGCCTTGCTTGTGGCTGATCCCAGATTGATTTCCAGCATGCATATGGGTCCCTGGGTCCCTTGAGGAGTGATCTCTGAGTGCAGATCTAGGAGTAAACCATGAGCACTTCCAGATGTGGAGGGAAAGAAAGGAAAGAAAGAGAAAAAGGAAAGAAAAAAGGAAGAAAAGGAAAGAGAAAAAGGAAAGAAAAATAGGAAGAAAAGGAAAAAAGAGAGACAGAAAGAGGAAGAAAGAGAGAGGAAGAGAGGAAGAAAGAGCAAGAGAGAGGAAGAAAGAGAGAGGGAGCAGGGAGAGTGGGAAGGAGCGAGTATTGTTTAGTTTAAAACAAAAATGTTGACAGTTACATGACCTCACAGTTTAAGAAGCTAGAGTTTAAGGTATGCAAGAAGGAACATGTAGGAAGATCACAGATCCAGAAAAGTTTCATGTGCTAAGTAGAGGCACTTAGAATTTATTAGCAGACATAAGGTTTATGAGCAAGTTTTGAGCAAGATGAGATGTAATCAATGATTGTTATGGGTGCATTGATTTCAAGAGCAGTACGAAGATGGGGCACAGAAAGATGTTAGATTTAGCGGAACCAATACAGGGCTAGAGCGATAGCACAGCGGTAGGGCGTTTGCCTTGCACGCAGCCAACATGGCCGACCCGAGTTCGATTCCTCCGCCCCTCTCGGAGAGCCTGGCAAGCTACCGAGAGTATCTAGCCCGCGCGGCAGAGCCTGGCAAGCTCCCCGTGTCATATTCGGTATGCCAAACACAGTAACAACAAAGTCTCCAATGGAGACGTTACTGGGCCCGCTTGAGCAAATCGATGATCAATGGGAGGGCCTTTACCTTTACCTTAATACAGTAGTCCATATGAGAGATGCTGATGAAGTCATAGTATAAGAAATGGGGAGAGGGTAGATGGAGAAGCTGTGAGGATGTTTGACAGATCTTAGAGCCAGTCCAATCAGTGGAGAGCTGGAGGCAGCTTTAAATTTCTAGCTGGGGCAACTGGAGTGACGACACTGTGAAAGGCGATAATATTGGCCAGAGCAAACCAGCTTGGAGGAGCTGCAGGGGCTCTGAGAAAGAGATTGATTTTGTATGTGTTAGTCCAGCTCCTTGGCAATGTCTAATAGGCTGTATGGGCAGGAGTCTGAGGAGAGTCTGACATCAAGGAAGTTAGGGTAGATGCCTTCATCCCAGGCACCACCTGGGGGGCCCTAGAGTTCCCCGCCCAGCATTGCTGATTGCAGCCCTGAACGCGTCCAAGAATCCCTCTGGGGTGATCCAGGTGGTTCCCAACTTTTCAGCCTCTGGCCTCACAGTGACCCACCTTCTGGTTGTGGGGAATCACTGTTGTTGCCTCTCCCTGAGCACTGAACGGGAGCACCTTTCAACCCCCCCAAAGAAAGAAACTTCTTGTTTATGTGAGACAAAAAGACTCAGGAAAGGACTTTGGAAAACACTTATTTTGGAGATCACTCTATCACTGTATCACTGTCATCCTGTCATCGATATTTACTCAAGCGGGTGCCAGTAACGTCTCCATTTGTCCCAGCCCTGAGATTTTAGCATTTTCTCCTTAGTCGTCTTTCCCAACGCTGCCGTATTGTAGGCTCTTTCAGGGTCAGGGGAATGAGACCTGTTATTGTTACTGTTTTTGGCATATCGAATACACCATGGGGAGCTTGCCAAGGCTCTGCTGTGTGGGCAGGATACTCTTAGTAGCTTGCCGGGCTCTCCAACAAGCCTATATATATATATATATATATATATATATATATATATATATATTCCCCTCTGTGATTTGTTGCCTACTGTCTGAACCCCATCAAATATTGTGTGGTAATTATGGAAAATGGGTAGGGAGTGTCTTATGATGTGTCCCGTGGCCGGAGATAATAGATAAAATCAAAATAGCTCAAATTTGATCTTTCCTCTTCACATACAGACACTTCCTGTCTTTATATGTGTTATAAAATGTAAGAGCATTTTATTATATGCAGTAGAATATAATAAACTATGTCTGTACAATGTTAATTATTGTAATATTACTATTGTTTTACTTAGAGGTCATGTAGAAAGAGGAATTGAGAAGGGGATTCTAAAAGAATCTTCAAGAATTAAGAAAGTCAGGCTGGAGAGATAGTACAGATAGCAGCTTGCCTTGCGTATGGTCAACCTGGGTTTGATTCCCCTGCACCCCATAGGGCCCCTGAGCTTCACCAGGAGTGATCTCTGAGCACAGAGCAAGGA